AAAATAAGGAACCATAAAAATGTAACACTGAGACTCAATGGAAATTTTTCCTACTTCATTAAATTTAGAAAATCATGAAATCCACTGAAGAATATTAAAAAGCAGTAAAAATATATTTACCCAAAAGAAATAAAAGTTTAGATATACTTATAAGTCCTAATGCATTGTAATATACGTGAGAAGGATAAATGTACTGCCCTGGAACTGTATACATCCATCGATTTGTTGAACAAAATCTGTAAAAAAGAAATAAATAGTATTACTTTGGTATTACATTCCATCATAATTTATATCTATATATCTTAAAAATAAAAAAAATGTGGTTACTAAATATATTTGATTTAAAAAAACATTTATTATATATACTTACATAAAATTATTTAGTTCCTCCTCAGTAATGAATTTCATCCTCACTCCACTGTTGAATGTTGAATTTAATCATCCTTTGAGATCTTGAAGAGGATGGTTGTCTTGAAGTGCAACAATCCCATAAAATTTGCATGCTACATAGGTCATCGATGCCCGAACATCAGGGTTAGGGGGTGACCCGGGTCTCCTCCTCTTAGGGGAGGCTAGTTATGATGCTCTGGAGTCGATGTTACTCAGGAAAAAATGACAGGCAAGATAGAAGTGACATCCGTAAACAAGTCAGGATTTTTAAATAAATGGCGAATGCGTCAGGAATTGACCGGAAATTAAGAAAAATAATACAAATAAAAGAAGACTTATTAAAAAAATATGGGAGTAGTCTCCTAAAAGAGAATAAGAAGTGGCCAAAAGCCAAAAATTGGCTCAAATTAAAAATAAATGCTCTGAATTTGTCTAAGAAAATAAGGAACCATAAAAATGTAACTCTGAGACTCAATGGAATTTTTTCCTACTTCATTAAATTTAGAAAATCATGAAATCCACTGAAGAATATTAAAAACCAGTAAAAATATATTTACACAAAAGAAATAAAATTTTAGATATACTTATAAGTCCTAATGCATTGTAATATACGTGAGAAGGATAAATGTACTGCCCTGGAACTGTATACATCCATCGATTTGTTGAACAAAATCTGTAAAAAAGAAATAAATAGTATTACTTTGGTATTACATTCCATCATAATTTATATCTATATATCTTAAAAAATAAAAAAAATGTGGTTACTAAATATATTTGATTTAAAAAAAACATTTTATTATATATACTTACATAAAATTATTTAGTTCCTCCTCAGTAATGAATTTCATCCTCACTCCACTGTTGAATGTTGAATTTAATCATCCTTTGAGATCTTGAAGAGGATGGTTGTCTTGAAGTGCAGCAATCCCATAAAATCCTTGTTCCAAAGCAGTACAATATCCCATTCACAAACTCAATTTTAAAAGGAATTAAAAACGGAATGAAAGAAATACCAATTAGAAAATGAATCGAAAACTATACAATTCCATGTAGGCTTCAACAGAAAAGAAATCAAAGACTTGGAAGTTTTAGAAGAATTTACAGTAAAATAAAAAATATTACACATAAAAGAAGAGATTTAGAAATACAATCAATATAGAAGAAAAATAATGTAGAGAAAGGACCTTTGTCTTGTTTGATAGCATCATATCTCTTAAAGAAAAGTGAAACTTTGGAAATATGTCTTATGAAAAGGAGATCGTAAGATTGTCTGACTGCCAGTCTCTGCTAGTTCATTTAGCGTTACCCAGGGTGCACCACGTGGAGGCGAACTAGCTTTACACCCCCCAGAATGAAGGAGCCAAATAGTGAAATAGAGATATGATGCATTGAAAAACTGGCTTGAAAATAAATTAGAAAATCCTATAATTCTATACAGATCATAGAAATGATGAAATATATCTCAGAAGATGAAACAAAAAATGTATAGAAATATATATAAAAAATTACAGAAATACAATCAATGGAAGAGTTTATAGAAATTTGAAAAATGATGGCATTCCCATAAGGAAGAAAATATGGGAGACAAATATAGTGAGGGACATGATTAATTCAAAAAATTGGCATAAAAATGGGAGATAAATTAGGGGAAATGTCATGAAGACATGAAAATATACAAATATATAAGACAGACATTAGAAGAATGTAATATATAGAATTGATGAAGGATATTCTAATAATAAAGAAAATATGGCAGACAAAAGTAGAGAGAGGTAGGCTAAAAGCAAGATGAAACAAAAGTATTAGATGATATTAAAAAATAAAGAAGTATGCAGTCAATAAGAACAGGAAAAAAATGAAAAAAAAATGCTTAGCCACCTTCAACGAATTTTTTAGTCAAAATATGACTGAAGTGTGTAAAGAAAAATCCTCCAAAGCATATAAGGTCGCCTCCCTTCATCAGATTTAACCCTTGTCCGACGATTAAGCCTCACCAGTCAGTTCCCATCCCAGCTAAGCAGCCTCGTCTCGGGTCACCCTCGTCACCCATCGAGCGGACATCCACCGGAACCCCCTACAGGCGGACCAACCTCATCATCTTCAATGTGTCCGATATCCCGCCCCCTGCCTCTTCGAGGGTCACGGAATACGTGCACGAAGAAGTCTCGGAGCTTGGGTGCCAGGTCGTATCCGGCCGAAGCCTCTAGCGTTAGAACACCTAGCTCGTAAACCAGAGGGTGGTGACTCCCTTGGGTACCCATGCATGCTACATAGGTCATCGATGCCCGAACATCAGGGTTAGGGGGTGACCCAGGTTTCCTCCTCTTAGGGGAGGCTAGTTATAATGCTCTGGAGTCGATGTTATTCAGGAAAATTCATTGGAAAAATGTTAGAAATATAGAAGTAACTTCTGTGGACGAGTCAGGTTTTTTGAATAAATGGCAAATGCGCCAGGAATTGGTCCTAATTTTGAGATTTTTAATTGTGTTATAGTGTGTTTAAATTATATTTAAACACAAGCAAAGTCCGTATAATTATAGCAACTCGTGGCATATGATCTGAGAAAAATAACATGAAAAAAATCCATCAAAACTAAAATTCTGTGCAAGAAATGGCACATGCAAAGAGTAGTATAGAAAAATAATACCATAATAAAATACAAATAAAGGAAGACTTCTACAAATACAGGGAATATTTTATAAAATCAATAAATGATGTCGTTATTCTCCCACAAGGGATAATATATGGGAATCAAGGTATTATAGAGAAATGAAAGTTAAACATAAACAACACAACGTAAAATTCTAAGTAGATGGTATAGAAAACCTATAGAAATATAATCAATTGAATATTTTATAGAATTGATGAATGGGGATATTATTGTTCCTATAATCAAGAAAATATGGGAGTCAAGTTATTATAGGGAAATAAAAGTAAACCAAAAAAAAACTTGAGACTAAAATTTCCTAAGTAGATATAGCATTCTATCAAAAATGCCAAAAGTCGAGAATTTGTCTAGAACAAGGAACCATAAAAATGTAACTCAGAGACTCATTAGAATTTCTTTCCTAGTTAATTAAATTTAGAAATCATGAAATCCATTGATGAACATTAAAAACCAGTAAAAATATATTTACCAAAGAGAAATAAAATTTTAAATATACATTGTTGGTAATATTCGTGAAAAGGATAAATGTACTACCCTGGAACTGTATAGGTACCTCCATTGATTAGTTGCAGAAAATCTGCAAAAAAAGAAATAAATAATATTACATTTCATTAATTATTATGCTTAATAATTGTGTTCATTTTTTATTGTTCATATTAAAATTAAATATATCTTTAAAAATATAGTTAGTCTGTTAATAAACATTTAATATATGTATTTAAACTGCGTTTTTCAATAATAAAATAAACTTACTTTTAATCGGAAAATAGAAAACCAATTTCGATAACCAGAATAATCGCCAAACATCAGAATTATATAAAGGACAATCAAAGTCTCTTCTTTGGGTGTTCTTAAGGTGCTGGGTCTGTATTATTCATAACACTCCTAAAAAAGAAAATTAAAAATTAAAGCATCAATATTAAAACAATGCAGATTTGTTCAATATGGCGACGTTAAAAATGTGAAAACAATTTTTTTATCTGAAAGTATTATAACAGGTATTATCCTTGTATTATGTAATTATTGAGAATGTAAAGCCCCTTTAGGTATACTAACACTGATTTATTCTAAAAAGACGTAGAAAATACTTCATTGCCTGTACGAACAAACACCAAAACAAAAAACCTTCAGGAACAAAAAACATCTCTAAACTACCAAAAAAAATGGCCGAAAAACAGTATTTCAATTGAAGTATTTCCAATATAACAAGTATTTCTAAATATGAAGCAATATTCTAAGTAACTTTATTCTTATTGTACAATAGAGACATCAAGAAATGTATATATATTTCCATATACTCGATTTTGAAAAAGGAAATTATGAAAATTTGAAAAATATATGCCTTCAATGATGATGTAATAGAAAGTAAAAAAATCTATAGAAAACAGGCAAAATAATAAATACTTACATTTTCAGTAGATTAAACAGGCCCTAAGGAACAGAATAAACTCAAATAGTGCACAGAAAAATCACTTTTTCTATTAAAAAATCAGAAAAATTGTAAGACCGACATAACGACTTGCTGTTGAAAACGGAAAATGTGGCACGTCAACGTTGTCAGATTGAACACATGTAAAATAGAATGGTCATTTTTTGCTGCATAAATAATGCTGTGTCGAAAAGAAAGTATATTATTTTTTCTTCCGAAACAACGTTTGTATTAAATGTTTATTAGGTTTGTCATGATTTTGTAACGGTTCAATTCATTTTAGACTTACAAAAATATTGATTTAAAATTAGTTTCAGGATTTCGCTAATATCTTGGCAACATTGGAAACATTTTAGTTCAAAATTTACTCACTTTTTCCACTATGGCGCCACCTGCGTTCTTCTTCTTTTTCGTATTTCAAGTCCTAAATGAACCTTTACCACAGAATAAAAGTAATATTCTTCTTTTTAAAACAATATGGTTCGAAACAAAGGCAACCACAGATTATGGGATTACAATAGCTGTCTCTTTGCTTTAATTAACCTCTCTTTCCTATTTTTACAATATAATTTAGAATTATTTTTAAAACGTAAGTGTTTATTCAAAATGGTCCGTAAATTAAAATTCCATGAACAAAAACTACTTAAAAAAGTTGATTTTATATCTTGGGAAGTTGACAATAACTTACACGAAGTGAAAGTGCTAAAAAAATATCACATTCAACGACGAGAGGATTACACAAAGTATACATCAAATAATGTGCATAATATGCATAGAATTAATATATTTGTGTTATAGATATAATAAATTAAGCAGAAATATTCGAGAAGTAGCTAGGAAAATTAAGGAGATCGATTCGAAACATCCTTTCAGAACAGAAGCAAGCGCACAACTCTTAGAAAAATTGTAACATTATATATAATATTTTAAATATTTTATTTACTTTATTATTCTTCAAGGTACGTAATGGGCCTCATTCCAACCAGATGGGACCTTAGTTTAGCTGAAAAAGTCACAGCCTCTTGCTTTTGCAGAAGAAGGCTACCGGTAGTTATGGTTCGAAGTAAGTCTACCTTGATTTAAAATTATTCAAAATTAATCTGAGCTATTTAATCTAGATAAAATGTCTGAAAATATCAAGGGGGCTATAAAACTCATCGAACAAGGACATGTAAGAGTCGGAACAGAGTTAGTAAAAGATCCTGCTTTTTTGGTAACTAGGAGTTTAGAAGATTTTGTCACGTGGGTAAACAGTTCAAAGATTAAGCAACACGTTTTGGAATATAATGGATTAGTAAGTACCCTCATATTTCTATAATATATTGCAATTATAATTTATTTTTTCTTTTTTAGCGCGATGACTTTGTTTTTTAAAGCTAATGTTAAATATTTATGTTCAATAAAAGATTTTTTATAAAAAAGTACAAAATTGTTTTGTTATTTTAAAGAACCAACACAAAGTTAGAGAAAAGTTTTTTATAAAAAGGTATAAATTCTTTTATTAAAAATATAGTAAACAATAACAGTAAATATATTTTAGTCTTATTAGCTAACCCCAATTTCAAGCATTTTATTTACGTCAATTATTTTTTCTCTGGGTTTGTTATGTTTTTTCCCTTCCTCAATTTCATATTTATCTATTTTTTCCCATCCTGCCCAGTCAACTATGGGCACCCTCTTTTCCTTGAGTATACTAGAAATGTTTGTAAATCCACCTTTATCTTCGTTTAATAAGTTATCATCGTGAATATCCTTCAGGATTCTTTCGGCAGTACCGAAAGCATTCGACATAGTTGTTAGGATTACCCCAACTGGCGCAGTACCTAACCATCCCGTTGTATATAACCCTGTATTTACCTTGCTATTGTTGTTTATTATAATGCCTTTTTTCTGGTCAAATGGGATCAAAGGATCAGCCTGAACACTTTTATATCCTACAAATGATTAAAAACATAAATAAAATGTTTTAAATATCTATAATCAATTATACTAGTTACCTATACTGGGTACAACAATGTTACATTCCAACTCCTCTTGTCTATCAGTTAAAACAGCATGCTGCTTTAATATATCTTCTCCTTCCAGTCGATTAACTCCCAAAATCACCCTTTCAACCTTTTTATTACCTAAAATTTCTAGAGGAGATCGGAAAAATATGGGCTTAAAAACATTTAAGCCATCCACGTCACTTTTTTGATCTTGAAGGGATTTCAACATCAACTCTGTTATTCTCTTCTTTGGTCGTGCTAAATTTTCAACAATCTCTTTTGATATTGAGGAAAAGTCTTCTTTTTTCCAAACAGTTTGACATTGTTGTAATTTTAACATTTCTCTTAGTTCTTTAATGGTGAAAGCTGCTTGTAAAGGACCTCTACGTCCGATTAAATGTACTTGCTTTATTTTTGACTGTGATATTTTGTCTAAAGCATGCTGGGTAATATCAGTTTTCTACAAAAAAAATGAACAGTAAAAAAATCTATAATAAATAAAAATACTATACCTTTAGTTCATCAACAGGAGTCAATAATATTCTAGCTACATCCACAGCTACATTGCCTTGACCAAAAATTGCCATGGTATTCCCACTAAGGTCAATTTCTAAATTTGAATCATCTGGAATACCATTATACCATCCAACTATTTTCCGTGCTGGAATAACATTGTGTAAATCTTCCCCAGGTATGTTTAGTTGTCGGTTTTCTTCAGCACCATAAGTCTATTGATGAAGAAAATGATTATAATTTACTTCAAGTATGTAAAAATTTGGTCAAACTTACCAGCAACACTACATGGTAATTATCTTTTAAATCCTGCAGTGAAATATCCGTTCCTAAATTTATATTGCCAAAAAACCTCACGTTTGGATGCTGGGCTGTTTTTGAAAAAGTATGAATTACATTTTTTACTTCTGGATGATCTGGGGCTACTCCAAACCTAAAAATAAGTCGTAAATGTTTTGTGATACATACCTTAAAGACATTACTACACTAATTTTGCCCTTAAATATAAAAATTACCTTACTAGGCCAAACGGTACTGGTAGTCTCTCGAATATATCAATCTCTGAATTATCTAGTTTTTTTACTAAATGTTGAGCAGCATAAAATCCAGCTGGCCCAGCTCCCACAATGCATATTTTTGGTTTTATTACCTTAGTTGAAAAAAGCCGTGATGCAAAAATATTTGAGAAACAATTCATGGTACGTGTAATTCACCTTATCATTTTTTTCAAAATTTACTTTAAACCTGTATAATCATCTCTTACGGTATCTGGATTGTTGTTTTAAAAATATTCATAATTTATTTATAGAACCATCTGTTTAAAGATTAGGGACAAATATTAAAATTTATTATTAACTTTTTTTGAGGTTAATAGGTCATATGTGAAAAAAGTTCATTAGGCCTACTCATAAAATAATTAACTAGAAAGAAGTGTCAACTCTGTGTTAAATCGTGGAAACACGATACGCCACCGAAAGCCTTCGTTGTCGTCTGGAGAACTAATTTTCCAATTGACAGGTTGACATGATAAGGACATGATGGCTTAATTTTCATTTCCGTTTCCGGTTATTCAATGGCGGGTCCTCTTTCAGTTCAAATGTATTTTGTATTTTTACTTTTCATAAATAAAACCAAAAATTATTTATTCACATATATTTATTTGAAATATGGAACAACGTGACTAAATAAATATAAAAATATAGAGGATTGTATTGTTTCAATACCAATTAGTTAATTATATGCACTTTTAACGTAAATTAGTTAAGGTATAAGCATGACTTACAGTAATTTGTAAATAAACACACGTATTCGCAGACTTCAAGGACAGAAAACGGACACAGGAACATGAAAACCGGAGCCTTATACAAAAACCTGAAAACAGAAAAACAATTTTTTTTATACTAAAATTAACAATGTAAAAATATCAATAGGTATAAAATATAAATATACTGTTTAAAAAAGCGTCCATTATTCCCAAAGAGACCTGGCTTATAAATCAAAAGAAGCAAAAGAGACTTTTTAGTCGGATAACATAATCAGATTATCAGTCCGATTTATTGCATTATTGACAATAAATCGCACATACTGGAGATAACTAATGTTGGCTATAGTTAACAATGATCTTACCTTGCTGTAAATTGCTTCCATTTTCAGAAAAATCGCCGATCAAAGATATTATAATACCCTTTTCTTGCATCTAAAAATGTAAAAACAGTGTTTATTTACTACCTATTTTTCATATACATGGAACATACCTACTACTGCAGAAACGTCGTTTTCTCCAGGATTCTTCATGTAATATATATTTTATATACTTTATTACCATTATATTTATAAATTTCAGCCGAAATATTAAATTGAACCAAAACGAAACTAAACGGAATGAATTAAAATGGCGTCGAATATTTTCGAATTTGTTCTAGAATAAATCTGAAGTTGTCTCTGAAACTGAAATCTGTCAATTCTAAACTGTGAAGTTAGACAATAGTTAGACAAAAACAATGCTGTCCTTGTCTAGGCGGCCATACTTGTCGTGAGGAGAATGACAGGAATGACACTAATGACTGTTTCCAATTTTCCTATTTCACTGTCACCCCCCTGGGCCTACTTAGTATTGGGACATCGTTAAAAAATGGTTAAAAAACATCGATAAATAATGGGAAAAGCTGGTATATGATCAATGATATACCACCAGGTCGTCCGAAATAAACTGCCAAGAGCAGGGGGGTGACAGTGAAATAGGAAAATTGGAAACAGTCATTAGTGTCATTCCTGTCATTCTCCTCACGACAAGTATGGCCGCCTAGACAAGGACAGCATTGTTTTTGTCTAACTATTGTCTAACTTCACAGTTTAGAATTGACAGATTTCAGTTTCAGAGACAACTTCAGATTTGTTCTAGAACAAATTCGAAAAATATTCGACGCCATTTTAATTCATTCCGTTTAGTTTCGTTTTGAAGTTCATTTTAATATTTCGGCTGAAATTTATAAATATAAAGGTAATAAAGTATATAAAATATATATTACATGAAAAATCCTGGAGAAAACGACGTTTCTGCAGTAGTAGGTATGTCCCATGTTCGTAAATAAACACTGTTTTTACATTTTTAGATGCAAGAAAATGGTGTTATAATATCTTTGATCGGCGATTTTTCTGAAAATGGAAGCAATTTACAGCAAGGTAAGATCATTTTTAACTATAGCCAACATTAGTTATCTCCAGTATGTGCGATTTATTGTCAATAATGCAATAAATCGGACTGATAATCTGATTATGTTATCCGACTAAAAGTCTCTTTTTGCTTCTTTTTGATTTATAAGCCAGGTCTCTTTGGGAATAATGGACGCTTTTTTTAAACAGCATATTTATATTTTATACCTACTGATATTTTTACATTGTTAATTTTAGCATAAAAAAAAAATTGTTTTTCTGTTTTCAGGTTTTTGTATAAGGCTCCCGTTTTCATGTTCCTGTGTCCGTTTTCTGTCCTTGAAGTCTGCGAATACGTGTGTTTATTTACAAATTACTGTAAGTCATGCTTATACCTTAACTAATTTACGCTAAAAGTACATATAATTAACTAATTGGTATTGAAACAATACAATCCTCTATATTTTTATATTTATTTAGTCACGTTGTTCCATATTTCAAATAAATATATGTGAATAAATAATTTTTTGGTTTTATTTATGAAAAGTAAAAATACAAAAATACATTTGAACTGAAAGAGGACCCGCCATTGAATAACCGGAAACGGAAATGAAAATTAAGCCATCATGTCCTTATCATGTCAACCTGTCAATTGGAAAATTAGTTCTCCAGACGACAACGAAGGCTTTCGGTGGCGTATCGTGTTTCCACGATTTAACACAGAGTTGACACCAGGGTTCGGAAAACTACATGCTACTTTTAAAAACTACATAAACTACATTACATGTAGTTAATGTAGTTTATGTAGAGGGTGTAGTTTATGTAACCTATGTATGTAACTTTCAAATATCAAAGGTTTGAGGTGAGGTTATCAAAATTTACTTTAAACCTGTATAATCATCTCTTACGGTATCTGGATTGTTGTTTTAAAAATATTCATAATTTATTTATAGAACCATCTGTTTAAAGATTAGGGACAAATATTAAAATTTATTATTAACTTTTTTTGAGGTTAATAGGTCATATGTGAAAAAAGTTCATTAGGCCTACTTAGTATTGGGACATCGTTAAAAAATGGTTAAAAAACATCGATAAATAATGGGAAAAGCTGGTATATGATCAATGATATACCACCAGGTCGTCCGAAATAAACTGCCAAGAGTGCCAAGTGTGCAGTAACTTAATATTAGTTTAATTCAATTCTATGGCATGATCATATTGGATTACATATTTATAATCTATGGTTTCTGTGTGCCAAAAGTTGAATTTTTAAAATATGGACATATACAAAATCATGTCTAATTTTTAATATTATAGTTAGGTTTTACAGGAAAGGAGACTTAATTAATGAAGAATTAATATATTTTTGTAGAAATGGAATAAAGAAATAAGTGCTTTTTCGAGATGAATTGCCAACTCCAATTAAAACCATTCCAAGGAAGACGATACAGCAGCGGATGTATAAAATGATTATAAATTTGTGAAATAGTAATAAAATTATTGATTATTTTTTGATGTTGTACACAGTTTACACTTTAGGACATACTAGTGCATTCAAAAAAAATCACAAAAGTAAAAATATCTTTTACCACAAATTATAATCAAGTCTTTCATTTTCCCATTCAGAGGAAAATAGGTCTTCAACAATTAAAAATACAACAAAGACCTCCAAATATAAAATAAAAGATGTAAGGGTATCTCCCTACCTGCTTTTGTATATAAACCCTATAATTTTAAAAATCCTCTATTCTGTATTTTTATATTACTCTATATTTTAAAATAATTTGTTTAATCTACAACTTTCTAAAATCATAGTTTATATTTATAGTGTCAATAACCATAGAGGATTTTACTGCTTAAGAAATTAAAGTTATAGCAATAAAGTAATGATTGATTGATTGATTGAAAGTTTTTTAGTTGTAAATTTAAATAACAACGTATATTACAAAAATGGTCAGTACTTCTGTAATCTCTATATATTTACAATTTTAGATATTGTTAACATTATAAAAATCCCTAGAATATATAAAAATATCATAATTAACAAGTCTGCCTTAATCATTCATTAGAAACATTTGATTCGAGTGTTTTTAATTTGTGCTCTAGAATTTTATAATTCATTTGTAAAACTGAACCTTTTTCCTTTAAGCCCTTCAGCAACATAATAAGCTGTCTCTTCTCTTCTTTCCGGTCTCTCACGTTTGGCCGTTTATTTTTCTTATCGGTTTTCTGCAGTTCGTCTGTCACATGTTTACAAAACTCTTTACTATATGAACAACCGTAATGAAACTTTTTAGCACAGACGTCGCACGTTATATACACCGGTATCCTTTCAATGCATCGACCGCAGGTTTTAAATTTCTTTTTACCTGAGAGTGCTTCGGTAAGTCGAGGCGATTCCGTCTTGTTGATTGCATCCTCTTGTGTTTGTTTCACAAATGCCAGAGTCTCTTTTAAAATTTTCTCGACTTCGCTGATCTTCGTTACTTTAACAGGTAGAGTGAGCTTGGTACCGTCCTGAAACCAAATCGCTTTCGTGTTTTTGTCACTTATTTTTATAAACAGCTTAAGTTGATCGTTGATGGATACGTTAAAGGACATGGGTATAGGCTCTTTTTCCGAATAGAAGAAATAGATGTAATTTGCGAGCTTTCTTCTTGACCAAGGTTTCTCTAGGTATACAAATTCTAGTTTATCGTAGGCTTCGCTGAGGCTGCATAAATTTAAGTCCATCGGGTCTTCTTCACCAATTGGATTAACTTCGACATTATTAGAATTCGAGGGGTGGCTGGCGTATAAATGATCAGAGTTTTCTACTGCCATCTCTTCAACTAAACATTCTGTATCCATTTATGTTTAAATAATATTGTTAAATTGATATTTTAACTTTAAAATTGCTGATTTCTAAATTTCTAACCACTGATTTTTCCTTTTCACTGACCATAGATAAAAACGGAAAAACTTGTCAAAATATTAGGGACGGAAAAAATAAATCGATTTTTTAAATATCGATAAATCAGGGATGGGCGTGTAAAAAACTAATATGTTCATTAAATATAATAAAAAAAAGTTTATGTGACAAAATAAATCATTTGATGAAACATTGGGCGCGTTCAGGGACGGTCAGCGGCTGAGTGGCTGAGTAAGCGCGCACAATGTGCGCGTTCAGGGAACACAGCGGCTGACCGACCGCTGAGTATTTTGCTCAGCGGCTGACTGTTTTTGCGTGTAAAAAGAGACCGTTTAGGGAAACCGCTTACTCAGCCGCTGACCGTCCCTGAACGCGCCCATTTTATGCTTGATCATTGATTTCGATAGAAAAATTTTTTGATCGTACGGTATACAGAGTCCCAATATTCCGTGGACATAAAAATACTACGCATTTTTGTAATCAAAAATAAGTTCATTGGACACTTATTGGACGAATTTATAATTCTATGTGCAAGAAATATTGGGACACCTTGTATTTACCATAAACTAGTTAAAAGAATAAATTTCTAAAATTGTAAAAAAAAAGAATATTAATTATAAAATTATCGATTTATACAGGGTGAGTCTTAAACAAGTGTAAATATTTTAAGGGCTGGTAGATATTGATAAAAAAAACATTTTTTCTCTTTACCGTTTTTCAAATAAGTCCAAAATAACCGAGTTATTTTATTTTGAAAATTTAATAAAAAATATGTTTGCTTTATTAACTAAAAACTAAAAAAAAGTCCAAAATTTTTTTTCAAAAATTTCTGAATTTCCAAAATTTTAATTTCGTGAAAATAACTCATAATCGTGTTTCTGGGGTCGAAATATACTACTCCTAAAATATTTGCACTTTTTTTAAGACTCACCCTGTATATTCTTGTTATCACAGTAACATAAAATAACTTTAATAATAAATAGAACTCCATGAATCCTTTTTCTTATAGAAAAATACACAATAAAATCCATATTAGGTACGATTTAAAGTGTGTCCCAAAATAATTTTTGTGTGCATTCACAGCACTTTCACTAAGAAAATATAGTAAACAACAATAACATTTTAAACTTAAAAAATTAGGTACCTTGTTGCTCAATAAAAACGACACCACAATATTTAGGCAATACGCTGATCCAACTTCATAAGAAAAACCTTATCTATTTAGAAACAAACATCCTAATTCATTTCACTGAACTGAATGTCAGACTATTTATTTTTTCTTCCAACAAATTATAGTTCTCTTCAAAGAGATTATCCTCCTCCTCTACTTTACTAACCAGGTACTCGCTATCAGGGTGCAGCCACACTAGCCTAAAAACGGCGTATCGGCGTAACGGGCGTAATGACCTTGAATGGATTTCCAGTAATTCTATTGGCTGAAACATTCATCTGTCAGAAATTTTATCTGTCAAATTCATCTGTCAAAAAATTCAGCCAATAGAATTACTGGAAATCGATTCAAGGTCGTTACGCCGTTACGCAGATACGCCGTTTTTAGGATAGTGTGGCTGCACCCTCAGCCATCTCGTTAGTGTCATCGTGATTACTAGCGCGTTGTTCGCTGAGCCTACTAAAGGTTTCCCTACACTTATCGCAATCATCCAACCCTTTAACGGCCAGACAACCCGGGTGAAACTCGTTCTGACATTTGACGCATCTCAGGGTGCAGCCACACTATCCTAAAAACGGCGTATCGGCGTAACGACCTTGAATCGATTTCCAGTAATTCTATTGGCTGAAACATTCATCTGTCAGAAATTTTATCTGTCAAAAATTTCAGCCAATAGAATTACTGGAAATCGATTCAAGGTCGTTACGTCGTTACGCCGATACGCCGTTTTTAGGATAGTGTGGCTGCACCCTCACGTACACCTCAACGTCCTTCAAGCAGGACTTGCAAACGTTGTCCGTAATTTTCACGTGGCGCTCTTGAAATTTCGTCTGATTAGACGTACTGTCAGAATTTCCGTTTGTCACGTTTTTAAATTGCGCCACGTTTTTCAAATAGAACTCAATCTCTTTAAAAATGACAGAAAACGTTTTTAAATCTTGCACCTTGACCGGGAACTGTATTTTCGTCTGGTTTCGACACTGAAGTTCGCCAACGAACATGTCGTCCAGCTTAAAGGATAGTGTTAAGTCGTCTGCGAAATGCACTGCGAATTTTAGGGAAGGTTTTGAGTCGGGATCCAAATAGAAGAAGTAAATGTAGCGGGATTCTTTGATTTTAAACCAGCACGGGTCGAGTTCTGCGCGTTCTAGTTTTTGGTAGGCGTCTTCCAAATCTATAAAGTAGTCCTCGTTTACTATTACGTAGCTAACGTTGGCAGGTTGAATCTGCGTTATTTATTGGGATATCTAGCTGTTGTGGAACGGCGCCGTTTTGTTGAAGTTTGACGTATAAGTACGAAATCAGTACGTCGCGTCGGTACGTAAAACAAACGTCCTAATTCATTTTACTGAACTGAATGTCAGACTATTTATTTTTTCCTCCATCAAATTATAATTCTCTTCAAAGAGATTATTTAAATCTTGCACCTTGACCGGGAACTGTATTTTCGTCTGGTTTCGACACTGAAGTTCGCCAACGAACATGTCGTCCAGCTTAAGGGATAGTGTTAAGTCGTCTGCGAAATGCACTGCGAATTTTAGGGAAGGTTTTGGGTCGGGATCCAAATAGAAGAAGTAAATGTAGCGGGATTCTTTGATTTTAAACCAGCACGGGTCGAGTTCTGCGCGTTCTAGTTTTTGGTAGGCGTCTTCCAAATCTATAAAGTAGTCCTCGTTTACTATTACGTAGCTAAGAAGTTGGCAGGTTGAATCTGCGTTATTTATTGGGATATCTAGCTGTTGTGGAACGGCGCCGTTTTGTTGAAGTTTGACGTATAAGTACGAAATCAGTACGTCGCGTCGGTACGTAAAACAAACGTCCTAATTCATTTTACTGAACTGAATGTCAGACTATTTATTTTTTCCTCCATCAAATTATAATTCTCTTCAAAGAGATTATTTAAATCTTGCACCTTGACCGGGAACTGTATTTTCGTCTGGTTTCGACACTGAAGTTCGCCAACGAACATGTCGTCCAGCTTAAGGGATAGTGTTAAGTCGTCTGCGAAATGCACTGCGAATTTTAGGGAAGGTTTTGGGTCGGGATCCAAATAGAAGAAGTAAATGTAGCGGGATTCTTTGATTTTAAACCAGCACGGGTCGAGTTCTGCGCGTTCTAGTTTTTGGTAGGCGTCTTCCAAATCTATAAAGTAGTCCTCGTTTACTATTACGTAGCTAAGAAGTTGGCAGGTTGAATCTGCGTTATTTATTGGGATATCTAGCTGTTGTGGAACGGCGCCGTTTTGTTGAAGTTGGACGCATAAGTACGGAATCAGTACGTCGCGTCGGTACGTAAAACAAACGTCCTAATTCATTTTACTGAACTGAATGTCAGACTATTTATTTTTTCCTCCATCAAATTATAATTCTCTTCAAAGAGATTATTTAAATCTTGCACCTTGACCGGGAACTGTATTTTCGTCTGGTTTCGACACTGAAGTTCGCCAACGAACATGTCGTCCAGCTTAAGGGATAGTGTTAAGTCGTCTGCGAAATGCACTGCGAATTTTAGGGAAGGTTTTGGGTCGGGATCCAAATAGAAGAAGTAAATGTAGCGGGATTCTGTGATTTTAAACCAGCACGGGTCGAGTTCTGCGCGTTCTAGTTTTTGGTAGGCATCTTCCAAATCTATAAAGTAGTCCTCGTTTACTATTACGTAGCTAAGAACTTGGCAGGTTGAATCTGCGTTATTTATTGGGATATCTAGCTGTTGTGGAACGGCGCCGTTTTGTTGAAGTTTGACGTATAAGTACGAAATCAGTACGTCGCGTCGGTACGTAAAACAAACGTCCTAATTCATTTTTTACTGAACTGAATGTCAGACTATTTATTTTTTCCTCCATCAAATTATAATTCTCTTCAAAGAGATTATTTAAATCTTGCACCTTGACCGGGAACTGTATTTTCGTCTGGTTTCGACACTGAAGTTCGCCAACGAACATGTCGTCAACAGGGATAGTGTTAAGTCGTCTGCGAAATGCACTGCGAATTTTAGGGAAGGTTTTGGGTCGGGATCCAAATAGAAGAAGTAAATGTAGCGGGATTCTTTGATTTTAAACCAGCACGGGTCGAGTTCTGCGCGTTCTAGTTTTTGGTAGGCGTCTTCCAAATCTATAAAGTAGTCCTCGTTTACTATTACGTAGCTAAGAAGTTGGCAGGTTGAATCTGCGTTATTTATTGGGATATCTAGCTGTTGTGGAACGGCGCCGTTTTGTTGAAGTTGGACGCATAAGTACGGAATCAGTACGTCGCGTCGGTACGTAAAACAAACGTCCTAATTCATTTTACTGAACTGAATGTCAGACTATTTATTTTTCCTCCATCAAATTATAACTCTCTTCAAAGAGATTATCCTCCTCCTCTACTTTAATAACCATGTACTCGCTATCGGCTGCCCCTGCTAGTGTCATTGCGACTACTAGCACGTTGTTCGCTGAGCCTACTAAAGGTTTCCCTACACTTATCGCAGTCATCCAACCCTTTAACGGCCAGACAACCCGGATGAAACTCGTTCTGACATTTGACGCATCTCACGTACACGTCAACGTCCTTCAAACAGGACTTGCAAACGTTGTCCGTAATTTTCACGTGGCGGTCTTGAAATTTCGTCTGACTAGACGTACTGTCAGAATTCATTTTTTGTCACGTTTTTAAATTGCGCCACGTTTTTCAAATAGAACTCAATCTCTTTAAAAATGACAGAAAACGTTTTTAAATCCTGCACCTTGACCGGGAACTGTATTTTCGTCTGGTTTCGACATTGAAGTTCGCCAACGAACATGTCGTCCAGCTTCAGGGATAGTGTTAAGTCGTCGGCGAAATGCACTGCGAATTTTAGGGAAGGTTTTGGGTCGGGATCCAAATAGAACAAGTAAATGTAGCGGGATTCTTTGATTTTAAACCAGCACGGGTCGAGTTCTGCGCGTTCTAGTTTTTGATAGGCGTCTTCCAAATCTATGAAGTAGTCCTCGTTTACTATTACGTAGCTAAGAAGTTGGCAGGTTGAATCTGCGTTATTTATTGGGATATCTAGCTGTTGTGGAACGGCGCCGTTTTGTTGAAGTTTGACGTATAAGTACGGAATCAGTACGTCGCGTCGGTACGTAAAACAAACGTCCTAATTCATTTTACTGAACTGAATGTCAGACTATTTATTTTTTCCTCCATCAAATTATAATTCTCTTCAAAGAGATTATTTAAATCTTGCACCTTGACCGGGAACTGTATTTTCGTCTGGTTTCGACACTGAAGTTCGCCAACGAACATGTCGTCCAGCTTAAGGGATAGTGTTAAGTCGTCTGCGAAATGCACTGCGAATTTTAGGGAAGGTTTTGGGTCGGGATCCAAATAGAAGAAGTAAATGTAGCGGGATTCTGTGATTTTAAACCAGCACGGGTCGAGTTCTGCGCGTTCTAGTTTTTGGTAGGCGTCTTCCAAATCTATAAAGTAGTCCTCGTTTACTATTACGTAGCTAAGAAGTTGGCAGGTTGAATCTGCGTTATTTATTGGGATATCTAGCTGTTGTGGAACGGCGCCGTTTTGTTGAAGTTGGACGCATAAGTACGGAATCAGTACGTCGCGTCGGTACGTAAAACAAACGTCCTAATTCATTTTACTGAACTGAATGTCAGACTATTTATTTTTTCCTCCATCAAATTATAACTCTCTTCAAAGAGATTATCCTCCTCCTCTACTTTAATAACCATGTACTCGCTATCGGCTGCCCCGCTAGTGTCATTGCGACTACTAGCACGTTGTTCGCTGAGCCTACTAAAGGTTTCCCTACACTTATCGCAGTCATCCAACCCTTTAACGGCCAGACAACCCGGATGAAACTCGTTCTGACATTTGACGCATCTCACGTACACGTCAACGTCCTTCAAACAGGACTTGCAAACGTTGTCCGTAATTTTCACGTGACGCTCTTGAAATTTCGTCTGACTAGACGTACTGTCAGAATTTCCGTTTGTCACGTTTTTAAATTGCGCCACGTTTTTCAAATAGAACTCAATCTCTTTAAAAATGACAGAAAACGTTTTTAAATCCTGCACCTTGACCGGGAACTGTATTTTCGTCTGGTTTCGACATTGAAGTTCGCCAACGAACATGTCGTCCAGCTTCAGAGATAGTGTTAAGTCGTCGGCGAAATGCACTGCGAATTTTAGGGAAGGTTTTGGGTCGGGATCCAAATAGAACAAGTAAATGTAGCGGGATTCTTTGATTTTAAACCAGCACGGGTCGAGTTCTGCGCGTTCTAGTTTCTGGTAGGCGTCTTCCAAATCTATAAAGTAGTCCTCGTTTACTATTACGTAGCTAAGAAGTTGGCAGGTTGAATCGGCGTTATTTATTGGGATATCTAGCTGTTGTGGATGAGCGCCGTTTTGTTGAAGGTGGACGCATAAGTACGGAATCGGTACTGCTCCTAACGTAAAAGAAAATAAAGGATATAAAATAATAAGTGACAGCATGGCGCAATCGAGAGTTTGATTATGATAAAACATAGCAAAAGTAGTAAAAATTTCTAATAAACTAGTAAGAAGTTTGGATTTCGGCCGTAAAAAATAGTTAAGTCTATCCGACACTAGTTAGGACTAATACTCGTAGTAAGTATAGGCTTGGTACATTCTCCGCAGGTGCTGCCACCATCGGAGAATATCGTAAACAACTAGTACTTACAAATACACGGGTTTAAATAGCGAGTATACGAAAAATTAGTTATACAATTATTCTAAAAGTATTAGGAAGTATAATTTGTGAAAATTCTAAAAATACAAAAGTAAATATTGTGATACTTATCTATATCTATATATTTTAGTATTATGTATTATAATTCATTATTCCAGCTAAAAAACTTTTTAGATGAGTTCAACTATGGTAGCGAGCATAGTTTTACGTACCGGTTTTGCTAGGGGCGTCATAATGGGCTCTTTCACTATATTTTGGAATTAGTATAATCGAATAAAGCAATTAATTCTAGAATTTTTTGCTATCTCACTTTTGAAAAATTTGAAGTCGTTCTTAAGAAAATAAATAAAAACAAAAAAGCCCAGAATAAATATCCGCACTTTATTTTTAATACGTCACACCAGGCATGTTGAAAAGCGGCAACACGGCCGCGGCCAAGCCACCATGCTGACCCACCACCACCTCCACACAAGGCCATTCAACCTTTTCCAATATGGCGGAGATAGAAGTTCTTTATTTGGCGCGTATTTAAAAACCTGTTTTATTTCCAAATAGACATTCTTCAATTTTTTAATATACCGGGAGTCTAAAGTTCTCCACATAAGAATGGCATTTTTTGTATTATTACTTTTATGAAAACATCAGTTAGTTACTTTTTATAAAAAGATCTGCTTTCTCAGAAAATAGGTAGTGTTAAAATATTCAAACTTGAGGTAGCATATATAGGGTGTTCAAAATCATCGGAAAAAGAAATAACCAGAAATATATGACAGAAAATAGCAATATAAACTAAATATTCAATTGCAAACACTTACCTACCATAGTTTAGAATTTACTGAACATTTGATAAATATATACTATTATGGACAGTATAGGAAGTTACTTGTCTTAGTAAAAGCCTTGGTAAATGCTATTGGAATTATAAACTACACTGGCTTGGGTAAAAAAATATGGAATATTTTTTCTATGTTTTGCAGCATTACACAAATGGGAATAAATTTAAACTATAATAGGTGAGGATAAATAAAGAATATAATATGTGTTTCAAGATTTTATATAGAAAAAAAAACTAAATACCTTTTTGGGGGTTCGTAAGTAAAACTTACGCTTAGCTTAGTTTTCTTTACTCTTTCTCTTTACATAGGGCATTGTTTTTGTGGTAAAGACGGCATTCCTTTTTTTTGCATAGTTCTTCAGTAAAATATTGGATACTCTAAACAAGATGGATTTAATAATAAATTCTGACGTATGTGAGGGGCAATTGTGACCTAATAAAGACTTACATCCAGGCCATTTATATTTTCAAATGTCAATGTTGTCAATATCTTTCTGTGATCTTTTTGATGTAAAAAGCTTGATTCTTCTTCCTATATTTTATTTATAGTGAGGTAAGTGTAAGCAGTAGCCATAACTACATCCTCGCTAGGGTAACAGAGGCTTTGGCCTTTGGCCTTTTTGAGGCATATTTAATGCACTTCTTACCCGAGAACTACTAGTAGGAGTGAAATTATCTCTTTTAATAGCTGTGAACCATTTTTTACGAAGCTCGTTATTTTTGGGGAATATAAAAGCAGAAACCTTGGAACCCCCTCTATAATTCCCGTGACAATATGGAACAGAGCATGTAAAAGGCATGCTATAATAAAATGTTAATACCTACCCTTTAATACCTATCTTTTGATTATTGTAAGTAACCATTATAAAGTACTATGCAGACTGGCGGCGAAGGCTTTTTACTCATTTAGGTGTAATATCTTGATAAATATTTCTAGTTCTTACCTTAAAATAATTAATAATAGAGGAGTACGACAAGCACAAAAGTTTGAAGTTCTCTATGTGGAATGTCTGGTTTGGATTTTTATTACACTGTTATTTTATCACAATTTTCTGATCACACCATGCACTGAACACTAAGAACTAAACAAACGTGTTGCAAAAGCACAACAAACTAAAGATAATTAATTATTTCTGGTATGCAATCGGAACGAGAAACCAATACCGGCTTTTCAGGTTAAAGGTAAACAATTTAATAATGCGGTGCCTTCGCCGCCATATTTGCCTTGCCCATATCATGTTGATTGGCCTTGAGTTGAGGTGGTGCTGGTCAAATCAAATCGCAATGTTGCCAGTTGTTGGCTGGCGCACGAGCACGGTTCTGCAATGTGATTGGGCGTATTTTTCATACGTCATCAATTGGCACTTTAAAATTATTTCAAATTAAAGCAATTTTGAGGGCCTATAAAAAAATTATTCAATGTCATGGAACTATTTTTTTTTGGATAAATATGCTGAAAATAGTCTTCTATTTCAGATTTTGTCCTTGAATTGGGTATTTTATTTTTTGTGAAAGAGCCCATTAGAACTATTTCAGCTATAACGAAATTTTGTAAAGGTACATAATATTATATCTACAAAAAAATTAAGTGTGGCATATCATTGTACTCAGGAGACCGAGTTCTTTCAAAACCTGAAATAAAAAATGCAGGTCCGTATTTAAAAAAATTAAGTTGGCCTGTGTATCTCACAAATTATCAGCTAATTTGAAAATATAAAAATACTACCAGATAGCCCTAATAAAGTGGCTATGAGAATGTGCAATTAGTTTTTTGATTTTTGAATTGATTTTCAAAAAAATCTGTTTTTTTTCCAAAAAACTAAGCAATCCGTGAAATTTTTAAAACTTTTTTGATGGCATCTTGGCGAACATCTCAAAGCGCAACTATGCCCCAATTTGACCAAGTTCGTATCTATTACGGCTACTGAGATACCAATGCTCGTACCCCGAATTTGTAGCACCCTGTATAGTAAATAAAATATACCTTTGACTATTCGGGGAAACTTTGAAGAAGGCACCAATTTGTCTTCCACAACTGTGCAGCTAGTAACCCATTCCACATCTCCCGGTTCAAAATGACGAAGACACACCTAAAGCAAGACAGTTTTTAAAGTCTGGGAAGATTACGATAAACGGCCAGCCAAAAAAGGGGCTAGCCTGAGAGGCGTCTGAAAAGTAATTTAGGTTTGTGAAAACAGCAACGTTTTTATAAAAAAAACAAAAAAAAAATACATAAATAACATGTTGAGTAGGTACAGTACGTCTGTCCGTTCTATAACTACGGGGTATCCATGAGAGGGGGGAAACGATATTCTCTGAATGTTTTTCGTAAAAAATTAGACGACGCGTCCCATCAATAAAAATTCGACAAATTTGCAAGTAGCCAATAAAATGAGTGGGCGGAGCGATTTGCGGTGACGTACCCGTCAAGTCGACGTATAAAATATATTGCTGTTTATTTAAATGTTTTTGTCCGCATTCCTTTCATAGACACAGACCCAGTAGACGTATTGTAGTTATTTGACTGAAATTATTAATTTGGGAATTTTTCATTTTTTTAAAAATAATCATAAATTTTTCTTCGAAAAAATAATGAAAAAACAGTTTCTGTTGAACCGTTTGCACAAAAACATTTCAAATTTATGATTTCAGTCTAATATCTATTTAGTTAATATGTTTAATTTATGCCAATGATGAGAGGTATTCATCTGACTCATTGGAGGGTCCCATGGAGGGGAGTGAGGTAGTGAGGTATGATTTTGTGCCAATAGGATGCTCCTGAATCCTGACAAAACCAATAGGATGATTTTCTCTCTTAGGGACTTAGAAACAGCAAACACAGATGTCCAGAGTATTAGCACAGATTAGGTATACTATATGTATACAGATAAAAATCTTATCCCTAATTCGTGGTACGAAAATTGTTTTTTATGACGATGTGCAAACGAGTAAAATTTTCTGTGCGTAAAAATAAACTCGCGTAAAATAACAATAAACAGCGTAATAGGGAGATATCGCTAAACCGAATAGCGTGCATGGACGTTAATAAGGCCAGGTGTTATTTCCTTTACGTGAGGTGGTATTAACTCTCTTCATTTATAGTTATCGGATCGGAAAGAATTCTGTTCGCGTCGCGTCCGCTATTTAAACTTAACCTAACTTTGAATTTAAAACATTGAAATTGTTTTGTTTACTAGGTATTTTAAAACTAAAGGGCTAAAGTGCTTATTTCCAGTGCTTCATTGTTCAACGTCTGCCAGTGGGTTTTAGAGCAACAAGCAACAAATTCTCTTAGAAGGGCTAAGTCGTCATCTGCTGTAAACCTAAGCCTCTTTATAGTTAATTAAAACTAATCCCAGCAACTTAAATATCAAATTACCGAATAAAACTAAAGTAATAATTCAAAACAATTCAAACATAACCTAAAATAAAAGATCTCGCCGGCGCGGCCGGCCCCGGTTGTCAAATACCCGCACGTGCCCATTTAAGCAATTTTTAAACGTTATTTAGAAATAGCGCTTGGTGTAATTGATCCGCAAATTACAGTCAGGCGGTAACGTTATTAGCGGGTGTTGCGTTAAAAATTGACTCGCGCATATCGTAACCATGATAAGGTAGCGTAAATACTGCATGACGCTATTCGGTTTTCCTATATCTCTCTAATAACTGTGCCGGTCAGGCGCTATGCACAATTTTAGAGGCCATAAGTGGGCGTGCTATGTGCGCAAACTAGTAACCTAACTAGTGCCCGATTCCGAAAATTGGAACCACGAAAAGCAATAAAGAAAAAACAAAGATTATAATCTGTATAATCTGTGGTATTAGGTTTCTGGGAGTGCAGATTGATCCTCTGCTTCGGTGGCATGAACATGTTGATGGCCTTTCAGGAAGTGTTTCCGGGCCTGTACTGAGGACTGCATACTTTGCTTTGTTCCACTCGATCTTGTCCTATGCTATTCTCGCCTGGGGACCTACAGCCCAACTACAGAGGATCTTCGGCTTGCAAAGGGCGGCTGTGCGAGTCTTGACTGAGCTTGGCTATTGGGCCGACTGTGGAGAGGCATTCAGGGGTGTGGGTGTGTTGACTGTTCCGTCAGTTTATATAATGGAAAATTTATATAATGGAAAATCTCCTTTATGTAAAAAAGAACCGAGACCTTTATAGGGTCCATGGAGAAGTCCATCACCATGAGACAAGGGGTAGGGATAGGCTTGTGCCAATCTACTACCGATTGACTAAGTGCCAAGATGGACCTGGGTGCCTGGCAATTACATTCTACAGGGTGGCCCATCGAAAACGTTCCGCAAGGCATAACGGCCAGGGTATTTGTTTTTTCAAAAAATCCAAAAACACGTCAATTTTGTTTGTGAGGAGGACAACTTTTGCCCTAAAAATGATTGCAAAATCTTCAACGCCTCTTTTTTCAAATGGGAACCAACTTTTTTCAAATGGGAAGGGGGATCAAGTGGCGCCGCAATGGAAAGGGCTTTCTATTCTCTATATTTCCCCGCTTCGTTTTTAAAAATCGGTCGAGTCATTTTGAAAATATGAAGGATTGAAATTTGGAAAGTATTTTTTGCAAAAAAACGCATAAATTGAATTAATTAAAAAAAAACTTACCTAATTAATGAAGAAAATGCTGAAAATGTTGCCCGCCAACCTACATACAGTAATACAAATTATTTTCAAACCGTTCTCGAACATTCTGAAGAACTTGCGGGGTCACTTCGCGACAAACATCAATAATTCGTCTTCGCAGCTCTTCCTATGAGGCGGGTGGAGTGCTATACACTTTACATTTTATGTGTCCCCATAGAAAAAAGTCTAAAGGAGTTGACCTCGAGTTGAAGTCGGGTGACCGGGGAGGCCACTCAACTGCACCCCTTTGTCCTATCCACCGACCGGGAAAGTTATTGTTTAAATAATTACGCACATTTTGAGAGTAATGTGGAGGCGCACCGTCTTGTTTTAAATATCAGTTCCGCTTCAACGTATCCAGGATTGTTCTCTATGATGTCAGTTAGGGCTGGGTCGATGGTATTTTCCAGTAAATCCAAGTCCATATCACCTGTTAGATTTCCAGGAAGAAAAAAAGGACCTACAATAGAATTTCCAAAAATACCAGCCCACACGTTCAATTTCTGAGGGTTTTGGGTGTGCACCTTGTGAAAAACCCTGGGGTTGTCCTGAGCCCAGTATCGACAGTTGTGCCGATTAACTACACCGTTCAAAAAGAAAGTACACTCATCCGAAAAACACACATAAAATAGGAAATTATTATCATTCACCACTCGTTCACTCATAGTTTCACAAAATTTGCAAACGACGATCAAAATCGTCTTCGTTGAGTTCTTGTACCAACTGAATTTTGTACGGGTGGAACTTGTGTTTTTTTAATATCCTTTGGACACTTGTACGATTCACGCCGGTCTCATTGGCTAATTTTCTTGTACTCAGCGTACTATCCATGGCAACTTGGCCCAATACGAATACCTCCATAGCTTCATTTACTACAGGACTTTCCCTCTGCCTCTTTTTATTCATAACGGAACCAGTTTCGCGAAATTTTGCTACTAACTCGCGAACAATTTTGCCATAAAGGTGTTTGTCAGGATGGCGTTCATTGAATATCTGCGCAGCCCGATTGCCACATTCATTATTTTTAAAATAAAGTTCGATTATTTCCACTCTTTCTGGAAGTCAGTACTCCATAATTGTTAAAAAGTTTAACGATATTGAAAAGAACTTCAACCGCTTCAACGCACAAGTCACAGAATAGCTATCTAGCAACTACCGCACCTGATCGTTCAACCTTCTGGCAAGGGAAAAAATGCGTAAACATCTAGAAATAATAAGAAAAAACTGCAAATTGGTCGAAGGAATTTATCCTTATCGTTACTCTGATAAATGTTTAAATAAAATTTTCAAATTTCAATCATTCATATTTTCTCAATGACTCGACCGATTTTCAAAAACGAAGCGGGAAAGTATAGAGAATAGAAAGCTCTTTTCATTGCGGTACCACTTGACCCCCCTTCCCATTTGAAAAAAAATGGGGATGACACCCCCGCTTAGAGGGTTGAAGATTTTGCAATCATTTTTGGGGCAAAAGTTGTCCCCCTCACAAACAAAATTGACGTGTTTTTGAATTTTCTGAAAAAAAAAAATACCCTGGCCGTTATGCCTTGCTGAACGTTTTCGATGGGCCACCCTGTATAATAAATTACCTAAGGAAATTGCCGACATGCCCCTCTTGCGGTTTAAGACTGAGGTTAGGGGCCTGCCTATGCGGTATTCCTGTTATTCCTTCCAGGAATTTTTAAATATTAGATTCTAATGTTTTTATGTTAATTGTTGATGCCATTATTCTCTTTAGTGTTTTAATGTCTATATACAATTATTTTTAACATAGAAAACAAATTTCTTGCAGTAGAGGTATATAATAAAATTATATAAGGATTCTTGCCACTTAAGTGCTAATATAGAAATTTAATTCTACGCTGTTTGTCATAATGCGGATCAACCTGCTCTCACTACCGGTTTCGGAGCCCTACTCCATCATCAGGTGAGCTTGGGAGATCCACAAAATGACAACCACAGCGCAGAGATAGTTAATTCCGACTTCGGAAAGTATCGGTTAGATATTAAGTCCCGAACGGGAAATAGCGGCCTGCGGAACCGGTAGTGAGAGCAGGTTGATCCGCATTATGACAAACACAGCGTAGAATTAAATTTCTATATTAGCAGTTAAGTGGCAAGAATCCTTATATAATTTTATTATATACCTCTACTGCAAGAAATTTGTTTTCTATTTTATAATTTGGCTTGCCTGAAAAAAAGCCTTTTACCATCCTTTTACTATCGATAGTTGCGCCTCGGTGGTACGAAAGTACTACCATTGCACGCAGGCCGCTATCTCCCGTTCGGGACTTAATATCTAACCGATACTTTCCGACAAGTCGGAATTAACTTTCTCTGCGCTGTGGTTGTCATTTTGTGGATCTCTCAAGCTCACCCGATGATGGAGTAGGGCTCCGAAACCGGTAGTGAGAGCAGGTTGATCCGCATTATGACAAAGACAGCGTAGAATTAAATTTCTATATTAGCAGTTAAGTGGCAAGAATCCTTATATAATTTTATTATTATTTTTAACTTAGTACTAGTAACTTATTTATGTTTTTAAGCTTGATTTTTTTCTTTTTTTATTATATTTTTACTGACCTGTGTAAATACTATTGTATGGCAACACCAATAAATGAATTTGAATTTGAATAATTTGGATTCCAAATATATCGAGAACCATTACTCGTAGTGATTTTTTCCAAGAGACCTTTATTACGTAATAAAAGTCGTGAATGTATATTTTTTACTCAGTAGTTTTATACAGGTACGAACAAAAAGTTATTACTCTTCAAACCAGTTAAAAAATATGTAAGTGGCGCCCTCTACAAGTATGAGTCATATTGACATCAAAATCAAATTTCTCATGTCAAAAAACTCCCAGACACCAATTTTCATCTAAATATTGACGTTAGTTAAGAAATTATTTGGAAAAAATCGAAATAAATATGAAACTTCTACACCCTGTATCTCCGAAACTAAGCATTTTCGGACATATACTTATACGAACTTTTTTACTTATTTTGATCTGCAGAATATGCTGCCGAAGTTTCCGGAATACGCAGTTCGAACCGCCCTGTATATTAAAAATATTTTTGTCGAAACTTACCCTGGAATAAGGCTCAATTGGCAGAGGTTTAGGATACAGATACTCGAGCCATTTTTGCTTCAACGCTGGATCTCTGGGAAAGTAAACCGTGGCCACTTTACATCCATCAGGATCCTTTCCATCGCAATATGGCATGCTACATACTTGACGTGGCACTATCATTTCAAATTAAAAAAAAATCGTAAATACATATATCCAGAAAGAATTTACTAATAACGTAAAATTCGTAACAAAAAACCAAATATACCTCACGATAAAAAAAAATCGGTGTTAAAGACGACTGGGGAATGACAAACGATTATAATTTTAGCGAGGTCAAGCCCTAGACGCCATTAATTGGCTTTTATGTTTACTTTTTTTTCACTTTTTATTTTTAATAGCGCTTACTGCCAGTTGGCCTTACAGACTGCCGATACCCGCTGCGTTCACTACTGCGCATCGAAAGAAGATCCTATATATATATATATATATATATATATATATATATATATATATATATATATATATATATATATATATATATATATATATATATATATATATATCTATATATATATATATATATATTAATAATATAATTAATAATAAATTATATAATATTTTTCTTGCCTTTAGCTGTGTATTTTTTTCTAAAATCGAAAGTAGAGAAAAAATTAAAAAAATAAAAAGTAAAAAGAAAATTGTTTTGCTTGTCGTAAAGGGGGGAACCAAGCTCCACTCCCACAACCGGTTTCTGGGCCTACCCTTCATCAGGTGGGCTGTCCAGGGGCTGGTTCTCACCGATACGGCAAGCAAAACTTCTTCTATATCAACAGACGATGTCGTAAAGTGTCGGTGAGATATTAGTGTATCTCCCGTCAAAAGATGGTAAAGAGCGTTTTTCGGCCCGCTCAAATATATGAAATGAACAAAATTCTTACAGCTTTAGTGTATATTAATATTAATTAATATTTATTAATATACACATTAATATTAATTAATATTTATTAATATACACTAAAGCTGTAAGAATTTTGTTCATTTCATATATTTGAGCGGGCCGAAAAACGCTTTTACCATTTTTTTACCACAGCTTTAGTGTATATTAATAAATATTAATTAATATTAATATACACTAAAGCTGTAAGAATTTTGTTCATTTCATATATTTGAGCGGGAATATAATCGGGAATATTTGAGCGAGAATATAAACGAAAATAAAATAAAAAAGTCTTTGCCCTGACCCGGATTCGAACTCTGAATCATCGGTTCGTGGTCGGAAACTCTACGTACTGCGCTATGGAGACATGTTCGATTAATATTCAATACTAGAATTTAAAGGACTAATAAAAATACAGGATCTTACTGTTAAAAGAGCCATATCGTCAGTGAAATGTGATAAACTAGTTATGTGAGAGGAAATAGCATGGTTTTCCCACGAAGACGCGAGCGAAACCGAACTTATAAATATAACCAAGCGCATTAAAATTGTCATTCTGTTCTTAACCATTGTATTCATTGTATCTGTTAAACATACTTTGTGAAAAATAAAATTTTTTAAAAAAGTATTTTCGTTGTCGAAATCCATAATTGGCGCAGTCGGTAGGATTGGTGCAGTTTGTCGCAACAAAAATCATTGAATTGATTATCGCGAAAAACGCGGATTTAATCCCTAGTGCCGATCCGAACAAACACTTCTGGAAAGCCACGGCATCGAGTCCGATTTTCGGTAGTGTAAAGGAGTGAGACATCGAAAGCCGAATACCAGAGCAGAGTCCAAATTGGTTTGTCACCCCGTTGAGTCGGTAAGTGCCAAGTCCTTTTGTCAATTTCTTTTACTTTCCCTGTTTAGGAAATCTCTTTTATTTTTTAAGTTAAGGTGAATTTAGCTACTTAAGAAAACAAAAACGATTTTTTATTTTTAGTTATTTAAATATACGAATACATATTTTACCTATATTATATTTTGCTATCGTAATTTCTCTATTTTATTTTATTTTAATTTTTATTCTTTTATGAATATTGACGATTTGACGAACGAATTTTCTAATAAACTAGTTTTAAAATCAAATAAGATGGAAAATCAAAGCCAAGCTCAAACACAAAATAATCTGCAAATGCTTAAAATGTATGTAGACATTATTCCTAATTTTGACGGAAATTCTATTACCTTACACAGTTTATTTCTGCATGCGACTTTCTCTTTACAACTTTTGGTAATTCTAGAGAGCGATTATGATAAATTATTTAATTAGAGTAATACAAACTAAGTTAGTCGGTAGAGCTCAACTATTAGTAGGTTGCCGATCAGAACTAGATACTTGGCAAAAAATCAAAGATGCATTGCAAGCCTGTTTTGGCGACAATAGAAGCTTAGAATGTTTAGAACAAGATCTTTTTATGGCTAAGCCAAATAAAGGAGAAACATCTTTGGATTTTGCTAAGAGATTGCAAATATTACGTAGTCAATTAGCTCAAAAATTAAACAGTCTTCCTCTGACTGAAATGCCGATTTCGACCAAAACAATTTATCAAAAGCAATACGAGCAAATAGCCCTAAGAACTTTTATTCGTAACCTCCCTGGACCTTTACAAAGCATAACACGACTAAGAAGCCCCGAAAATCTCGAAAGTGCTCTCACAATCATAACCGAAGAAGAAAATTTTCAGTACACTCAAAATTTATTTAAACAACCCCAGTCCACTTTTAATAACATAAAACCACACACACCCATACCAACCACACCTCATCCATATTTCACACAAAGAGCTCATCAGTCTAATCAATCTAATCCACAATATAATTATCCGACAAATTTCCAAAACCAGTCTCCAAGATTCCCCCACCTCAAAACCAGAACCGTAATCAAATCCCCAGTCAATTTTTAAATCAAGGACCCCCAATTTTCCTTCTCAACCCATAAACATTCAGACACAATATGTGCCTAGACATTACCCGACCAACAGACAAGTATTTGGCCCTCAAAAGATGTATTCAAACCCACAGGTCAGAAACCTTTAGATAAAGTGGAACCTATGTCGACCACGTCTCGAATCCCAAGCCTTAGACGCCCAGTTTCTAATTTCTTTAAACCTACAGGTCCGCGAAATTTTATTTCGCAGGAGTTATTCAAATCGATAATCAATCGAACATCGATAACCCAACTGATTTACCCTTTGATGAGACCGACAACATAGAACAATACGAAACTGATAATTACGAACAATTTTATACCGATGATGGCTCACAAAATAATCAAAATTTTGAAACCTTTGATAATTCTTATGACAAAAACACCGGAAATTTTTCAGGATCCTGGCCCAAGCCAGAACCAAACATAACTTTAACTGAAATGCATACCGAAATCAATAGTAATTTACCATATATTAAAATCAATAATCCACCAATAAAATTACTTATTGATACGGTTGCTCTCAATCAATATTAAGACCCATAATTGCTGAAAAATATTTTCCTAATGAAATTTTCCAACAGGAAACCCTGATTAAGACAGGTATTGGAGAAAAATTGGTTCGATTTAAAGCGAATATACCTGCCTTTTCAGAATTAAAAATTAACGAGACAATTACATTTACACTTTTCGATTTTCATTCATTTTTTGATGGAATTTTGGGTTTAGATCAATTGAAAAAATTAAAACTTTTTATTGATTTAAAAAATAATTTCCTAGTAAATGACATTCTTAAAATTCCATTACATTTTAATAAAACGGAAAATATTTCTCACGATGTATCGGTCAATAGCTATGAGATCGCATCTGTGAAAATTCCCGTGAACGTCTACGAAGGTGACATAATAATTCCGGAGTCATATATCAACCACCTGCATTTCCCTGAAACATTGACAACAGCTGTTCGAGGCTATGCGAAAACTGAAGTTTTCAATAGAACTAACGAACATCTGATGATATCATTTTCAGAACCTGTGAAAGTGATACCATTCCCCGATTCGCGGAAAGAGAACTTTGAATTTTTTAATATCGAAACATTTTTGCCAAAATCTGAATTAAATAAGAATTTAAATATTGCAAATTTAATTCGAACTGAACATTTAAATACCGAAGAAAAGCAATTGTTAACATCACTTTGTAAGGATTTTTCCGATATATTCCATGAAGAAAATCAAAAACTAACTTTCACCAATAAAATTAAACATGAAATAAAAACTTCCGACGAAATTCCGGCTCACTCAAAAACATATCGTTATCCTTTTGTTCATAAGCAAGAAGTACAGAAGCAAATAAATAAAATGTTAGAAGATGGCATCATAAGACCGAGTCAAAGTCCATGGAGCAGCCCTATTTGGATTGTTCCAAAGAAACTCGACGCGAGCGGAAGACAAAAGTGGAGAATAGTCGTTGACTATCGGAAAATCAATGAGAAGACCATAGACGATCGATATCCGTTGCCGAATATCAACGATATCTTAGACAAACTTGGACGTTGCCAATATTTCTCAACGCTAGACCTGGCATCAGGGTTCCATCAAATTGAGATGCACCCTAACTCCATTGAAAAAACTGCGTTTAATGTAGAGAACGGGCATTATGAGTACTTGAGAATGCCGTTCGGGCTCAAAAACGCCCCCGCAACTTTTCAGCGAGTTATGGACCATGTACTACGTGACCTGCAACATAAAGTTTGTCTAGTATACATGGACGACATCATTATTTTTAGCACCACTTTAGAAGAACATATAAAAAACCTCCGCTCTGTATTCCAAAAACTTCGAGAAGCCAAATTCAAGGTGCAGTTGGACAAGTCCGAATTTTTATGCAAGGAAGTAGAATTCCTAGGACATGTCATAACACCAGAAGGCGTTAAACCGAATCCCCGGAAAATCGAGGCAATCACGAGATTCCCAATACCTAAAACAGCCAAAGAAATCAAGTCCTTCCTTGGGTTATTAGGGTATTACAGACGATTCATCAAAAATTTCGCAAAACTGACGAAACCTTTCACAAAATGTTTGAAAAAAGGAGAAAAAATCGAACACACGTCAGAATTCATCGACACCTTCGAACTATGTAAAAAGATTTTATGTAACGATCCTATACTGAAATACCCAGATTTTGAGAAACCATTTGTGCTGACCACCGACGCCTCCAACATAGCCATAGGAGCAGTGTTAAGCCAAGGAAAGGTAGGCAACGAT